TAGATCAGTGTCAACCTATGTGTAATACTTATATCAGCCTGATTAGGATTATCAGCAAAAGCCTGGATTGCAAATTTTTGTGCAAGGCAATAACATTTGGTTGAGGCAAACTAAAGTTAGAGAACGGAAACCAATTTCAGACGTTTGGACGGACGTTCAGACAAGGACAAGGGTAAAACTTAATGCCCAATCCGCTGCAGCCGTTAAATTTGATATTCTAGGAAGTTTTCACTTTGCTGGCTGTTTGTACATATATTGAAGGTGTGTGCATGTGGTCAGGGTTTTGATTTTTATTGATATTTGCTCTTTTGGGAGACAGTTGAACTTTGTCATTTTTGGAGTATATACTTGCATAAGAGGTGCATAGCGTTTCCGGATAACTCCTCCTACAGTGAACCATAGACCTATGTGCTCCCATGCTCAACTTTGTGTATTTTAAAATAACACTTTGCATCTGAGGGGGCATCATTTGTGTCTCCCAGACACAATCATATATCTACATTGAGAAAGTTCTACATTGACTTTGTTATAATACAGTTACTTCAGAGTGGAGTGCGGGGCATCACTTTGTCTAGTTTATAGCCAGAAACACTGGTTAAAGCTAGGGTCATGGGTTAAGCCATATAACCAGGGCCACAATGTAGCTACAGTCATCTGTTACACTATGTAACCATAGGCGGATCCAGGGGGGGGGGGGGCCCTGGGCCCCCCCTTTTGTGGGAAAAATTTGGTTGATTACTGAAGTATGACTGGAGCGGGCCCCCCCCCCCCCCTTAGGTCAGACAATGCCCCCCCCCTTACAAAAAGTTCTGGATCCGCCACAACTACACTAAAGCTACAGACAAACTTTTAAAGTCAATGCCATAGTATTGCTACCAGCATGAATTATGTTAAACTAGTAAGAGAATAAAAAGATACTGCGATATATTTTATACAGCCTCAATTTATTTTAAAACCGCAATATTTAATTATTTATATAAAAATCAATTTTCTTCTTTAGTTAGATCACCAATGATTTCAGTCAGTTTAATGAAAAGGTCAAAGTTTAGAATTGTCAGTCAATGATGGTTAGAAATCTCACATGACTTATTTTAAATGTTTACCTTCCTTAATTATTCATAAAGGCATCATTGTATTTAAAATGTCAGAACTGTAAAATCAAACATAACATTATCAGCCAACAAAACCATATCTACCGCAAACCATTTATAGAGAAACACAAATTGGTATCAGCCCACACATTTGTATCTCTTGGGGCTTATGCTGGTATTAAATTCTTAAAACAAACTGGGACATGATTCAGTTATAACAATAGATTATCTAAACTATTATGTGATTGTCATTTGCAGCAGTTGTGGTATATTTTGTGAAATAATGGATTTGTTAGCTGCTTTTTTAGTAATATTTTCTCTTTAGTATGTGAGACTTCTGACTTACATGTATAATGATCCTAATTGTATCAGGATTAGACCTGTATTCAAAGTTATATTCTTATCTCAAATGGTCTTTTCTTAAGACAGCAACTTTTTCTACAATGTGAATCTAAGAAGTAAAGTAACTTGGCATTTGATAGTAAACCTGCAGTGCATAGCCAAAAAAATTTATTAAGAGAAATTCATAATGACAGAAGTATATATATGTCATGATATGAAGAACAATAATGGTTATATTTGTTGGGGAAGCTTTTCATCGAAAAACTATACACCTATTCAATGTTCAATATATTAAATATAAAGTAATGATTTTTTTTTTAGATATTTTTTCCTTGATACACATATATACATTTTCATACCAACATCTTGTTAATATCATATTTATCATATGTTTACGATAATCATCTCTTATTAATGTAATAAGTCATTTCACCAAGCTGTTCATGTCCAAATTTAAAATTTCTGAAAGAAAATCTGTTAGATTTTTTCAGCCAGTTAATATAGTATTCTGATTGAAAAATAATATTGACATTCAATTACATTTTATTAGTATTACGTTTATATTTAAGCAAAGAAGTATGTTACATTATTGTCACTAAGCAGAACATAGAAACTGATCATATTCTCTACATACATTCTGAATTAAGGAATCATTGATATTGATTGGTGACCAGTATTCATATTTTTGACATTTTCTCTTGATTCCATTGGGTCTAACCTTACAACATATTTAACTTTTTGGGTTCTTGAATCAATAATCCCTTAGTTTTAAAGAAATTGTTGTTATATCGATGATGTGTGACGTGAGTCTTGATATTTTCTTCAACAATTTATTAGGTTTGATGTTGTAATGAGAATTGTAATTGGGTGGTTGGTGAAACAAAAAATATTACTTTAGGGAAACCCACATGATCAATTTCTTCGGATTATTGACAATGTGACGTCAAATATTTCGTCAAATTTTTCCAGATTGTCGCTCCTTTATCTCTATGTGACGCATGTAAAATGTGATTGTAGAGTTAGAAATGTAATTGAATTCTAGTTCATTTATTTTTTATTGTGGATCAAATATGTTATCATGTCTTTGAAAGGTGATGAAATGTCAATCTCTAAAATTCAGTTCTAATGACATTTTTGTCTGTGATCTTTAACATTTTGGCTTTCATTGACGAACTTCTGTTTCCGTAATCAAACAAGCTGCTTGTTAACTTTATATGGCAACTGTCCGTTACTACATGTATTAAGCATGTTAAGTGATATATACAAATGTTTGACAATACATTTTAAAGTTGAATCTTTCTTGTTAGAATGAAAAATTACTTGCACTAACCTTTCTAATATATCCTAGCTAGCTCATATAAGATCTATACATTTCGATTGATTGAATGTTGCTTGCTTAAGGTCCAGTGGCAAATATTTCATGCATATTCAGGACAAGAAGTAATTAACAGTTAAGATTATATACAATGAGGACATCAGGTAGGTTCTGTAAGGATAGTTTATTGTGATGATGTTCAAGAATTTTGGACTGCCTCTGGAAAATAAGGGTATGTTGAATGATGGCAAACATTTTGCCTTGCAAGCAACCACCTAAACCAAATAAAAAAGACCAACAGTATAGTCAAACCTGTGCAAAGAGTCAGAATTATTCTTGAGGAAGATACATTTCTTAATTTAGATTAGTTCCAAAATTTTATAACAACATTACAAATTTTAATAAAACAATATCCATATCTTCATCCCAGTACAATAGTACTGGTGGTGATACACTTTGGGACTAACAGTCCACTAGCAGAACTGGTACTGACCCAGTGTAGAAGTAACATTAACAATACCAATTTTATGTCTCTCCAGTGATGCAAGTGTAAGTTACAATTAATTAGCCTTTCTCATATTTTATATTTTAACACAACTATTTTCGGTAAAAAAGAAAGGTTGGGATGGATTCAGGATTTTGTTGCTTGTTAAAAATTAAATAAAATTTCGATAAAACAATGTTTTCCTCAGCATGCCCAGTGGAAATTCATTTTGTTACCGATTTCTCTTTTAAAAAATTCCATTTGGTGTCAGATAAAATATAACTCAGAAAACACTGCAACAGATTGAGTGTGGGTCTTACAATTGCTCGAGATAAATTAAGGTCTTGAAGTAGTATTAAACATGTTCAATAGAACTATAAGACCAAAGCTTCTCAAACATAATAGGATTGATGAACAGAAGACTCTTATTGTATGCATATCGGTTGGCATATGCCATGTAGTTCCCATTGTCAGATATGCCATTTCCCCATCACTGTGAATTCGTTATTATTTGTGGAATATCAATTTATTTGTATTTCATGGGTAAAGGCATCAAACACATTTAAACTTTAAAAAAACTACAAATTTTCTATATGCTTGTATGCAGACTTTGGCAAAACCATGAAATTAAATATTCATGAAAAATAAAATCTTTCCTCAATCCCTGAAAATTTGTATCCACAAATAATATACATCACAGTATTTTGAATTTAATTGGTAAAATACTTGCAAGATAAAATTCTTTTCTATGATTCTGTGCAAAATATAGTAGCTAGAGGCAGCGCTTTTAAAAATATTTTGATTTGTTAATTTCATGTTTTTTATGCCCTTTTAAACTTAGCAAAATTTATTCAAACTTGAAAAGAATGATGATTTGGAGAGCTTTTACAAAGAGTGCTTCCTACATTTATATCAGATGGCATGTGGGATATATGATGACAAAGTACCATTTCATCTTATTAATATACAGTTTTCTTATTTTTATCTCAATTTATGATTTTAAATATTATGTAGCAAAACATTGATGCACCTAAATATGTGCATTTGAAAGTTCTGAATTTAGAATGAGTTAATTCCCTTTTGAAACATACCCTGCATAAAAAGAGCATACTTGTCTGAGTATCTGTTCAAAGTGACACCTACTTGGAGGTAAAATTATCGAAATATTCTTTATTAAGCTGAGGACAACCCATGCTTTGCAAATTTTAGGGGGGGGGGGCACGCCCGCCATGCACCCACCTGAATTCGCCCCTGATACATCACAAGATTAAACATGACGTAGATTTAAATTTCCCTCAATACTAGGTTTTAAAGTTAGAGAATAATGGTCAGTAATTTAGAGATTTGTATATCAAAGTATGATTAATTTGATTGCACTTGACAATAAGATAATACTTAAGAACCCTCAAGACGATATAGGAAAGTGCATGTACTTTTATACTTGTTTAATATTTAAAGTTGTGAGTTGATATGTATTTTATAGTATTGCATCATACAAAGAAAGTTCTATTTTCTTGTAAAAATCATTAACAATAGCCTAAGAAATAGTCATTTTCAATAGCTTAAGTGCAACAAATCCATTTGACATAGGAAATATTATGTCAAAACAATTTTCCTGTACCTGATGGTTTGTAAGTTGTAATAGGACTGGAGCATTGATCAGATACAATTGTGTGGGTGTACAAAATAAACTATATTATTAACATATATCCATAAGGCATAGTCCGTATCACTTTATATATATATAAATTCAGTTCATCTTTTACAGATTATTTGTTTAAGGTTTGGATCACTCAGATCTTATTAAAATGAATGCAGCAGATATAATGTGCAGAACTCAGAAAGTACTACATTTATGATGGAGTGGATTTTGCATTAAAATGCATGAAACAGAGAAACAGATATAGTGAATTTCTACAATGGGCAGTATTTGTAAGTATTTATGTTTTTCGAGATGAAATTTAAACAAATTCAAATAATGATGGACTAATGCATGAAAGATATTTTATAAAAAATTCTGTATTTAGTTCTATCATTTGAAAACCTGACTACCAATGGCATGCACTATGCTAAAATGACAAGGTAACTTTACAATATGTACATTATATGTTATTCTGGATCTTCACATGGGATATGGGCTCCTACTCCCTGTCAGTGTTTTATATCACCTGAGCTGTCAGCAGTTAAAAAATGTGGGAAACTGACAAGGAATATGAGCCTGTATCCCTTGTGAAGCCCAATAAAAATTACATTATCCTGCAGTTTGCTGATTTCAATATTAATAACAATTTTGATCTTTGTTTTTTTTTTTTCATATGTTGTATGGGCTTATATCCCCTTTCAAGGTAACCAATCAAATTTGATGATAAGGTGGGATGTTTCACTCCAGTATAATTGAAAATAATAATAATAATAATATAAACTAATACCTGTGAAAAAAGCCAGCACAGAATAATATTTTTACAAAAGCCCAGAAACAGTAATTACTTTTACATTGTAACAAAAATAAGGAAATTTCTGTATTTTTAAAATAGCAAACATAATCAATATTACTGTATTATAACTTTTTTTTTAGAAATGTGCAATGAGGAGCTTAACTTCAAAGTTGTTACTTATATTGCAGACAGCATATGTATAATGACAGTACACTCTTCTAAAAAAGAAATGTACCATATGAATTTCTTTCATTTGAGGCCTTTGGCAACCATCTATTCTATTCAATGTTTTGTTTAACCCACAATAGTTTAGAGTTATATTGGGATGTAGCTTCCTTCTTTTTGTTTTATTATAAGACCCTTAACATCTTTTATCCACAAAGATAGGAATCAAGGAATTAACAAATTTACTTATAAATCTCCAAAATGATGTTTTGAAAACTTCACTGTTTTTGTTCAGTTTTGCTTGCAACTTAACTTTCCTTCTGCAATTCTCAGAAGCTCTTTGTCAGAAATGCTTAATGTTCTACAGTATATGATATAAGGTTTACATATGTCAAGTTGTGACTAAAATGATATTTTGATCTTGTCAGTGTGCCATGCATACTATTTTTTTATGAACAGGTTTTTCTGACAGAAAAATCTAGTTATACATTTGGGGTAGTATGGATGGGTGTGATGGGCTGAAAACCATTTCTATGCAATAACTTAAGAACCATTTAGCCTATCCTTTTCAGATTTTTATACGCCCGTTTACGGGACGTATTATGGTATACCATTGTCCGTCTGTCTGTCCGTCTGTCCATCCGTCCGTCGTCAACATGATGAACATTAACTCAAAAATGCTTTAACCAATTTGCATAAAACTTTGGTGAATTGTTTATATCTATTGACCTGAGCTCCCTTTCGTTTTTTTATAAATTTTAGATTTTACGTTTCCGAGTTATGGGGTTTTATTCATTAAAAAAAGGGGGATTTTCCAGTTTTCGGACAATAACTCAAGAATGCTTTCACCAACTTGCAGGAAATTGTGGTGAATTGTTTATATCTATTGACATGAGCTCCTTTTCGATTTTTATATATTTTAGAATTTACGTTTCCGAGTTACAGGGTTTTATTGTCGAGCCTGCGACTTTTGTAGCAGAAAGCTCGACATAGGGATAATGATGCGGCGGCAGCGGCGGCGTTAGCTAACTTCTTAAAAGCTTTATATTTTAGAAGATGGAAGACCTGGATGCTTCATACTTTGTATATGGATGCCTCATGTTACGAAGTTTCCGTCAGTCACATGTCCAATGTCCTTGACCTCATTTTCATGGTTCAGTGACTACTTGAAAAAAAAGTTCAGATTTTTTGTAATGTTAAATTCTCTCTTATTATAAGTAATAGGATAACTATATTTGGTATGTGCGTACCTTGCAAGGTCCTCATGCCCGTCAGACAGTTTTCACTTGACCTCAACCTCATTTCATGGATCAGTGAACAAGGTTAAGTTTTCGTGGTCAAGTCCATATCTCAGATACTATAAGCAATAGGTCTAGTATATTCGGTGTATGGAAGGACTGTAAGGTGTACATGTCCAACTGGCAGGTGTCATCTGACCTTGACCTCATTTTCATGGTTCAGTGGTTATAGTTAAGTTTTTGTGTTTTGGTCTGTTTTTCTTATACTGTATGCAATAGGTCTACTATATTTGGTGTATGGAATGATTGTAAGGTGTACATGTCTAGCTGGCAGGTGTCATCTGACCTTGACCTCATTTTCATGGTTCAGTGGTTATAGTTAAGTTTTTGTGTTTTGGTCTGTTTTTCTTATTCTGTATGCAATAGGTCTACTATATTTGGTGTATGGAATGATTGTAAGGTGTACATGTCTAGCTGGCAGGTGTCATCTGACCTTGACCTCATTTTCATGGTTCAGTGGTCAAAGTTAAGTTTTTGAGTTTTGGTCTTTTTTTCTAATACTGCATGCAATAGGTCAGCTATATTTGGTGTATGGAATGATTGTAAGGTGTACATGTCTAGCTGGCAGGTGTCATCTTACCTTGACCTCATTTTCATGGTTCAGTGGTCAAAGTTAAGTTTTTGAGTTTTGGTCTTTTTTTCTAATACTATATGCAATAGTTCAACTATATTTGGTGTATGGAAATATTTTATGATCTATATGTCAGTCACGCAGGTTTTATTTGACCTTGACCTCATTTTCAAGGTTCATTGCTCAGTGTTAAGTTTTTGTGTTTTCGTCTGTTTTTCTTAAACTATAAGCAATAGGTCAACTATATTTGTTGTATGGAAGAATTGTTAGCTGTACATGCCTGCCTAGCATGGTTCATCTGACCTTGACCTCATTTTCATGGTTCATTGGTCAATGTTTAGTTTACTTGGTTAATGTTAAGTTTATGTGACAGTTGTAATAAAGCTTTATATTTAGGACTATCAACATAATATCAATGATTAGTAAAGAAGGCGAGACATTTCAGTGTGTGCACTCTTGTTTATAAAAAAAGGGGGATTTTCCAGTTTTTGGACAAAAAATCAAAAATGCTTTCAGCAGTTCATATGAAACTTTGGTGAATTGTTTATATCTATTGATGTAAGCTCCGTTTAGAATTTTATAAATTTTACATTTTACATTTCTGAGTTATGGGGTTTTATTCATTAAAAAAGGGGGGATTTTCCAGTTTTTGGACAATAACTCAAAAATGCTGTCAGCAATTCTCATGAAACTGTGGTGAATTGTTTATATCTATTGATGTAAGCTCCCTTTACATTTTCATAAATTTCTAATAGGACATTGAGAATTAATTGAACTTTATTTGTTTATAGTCTAACAACAGATTTACTAAGTATTTCGCAACAGCACAGTGTATTGCACAACAGCAAGAAATCTTTGATTGAATATAAATTCAATTCATATAACCAATTTCAAGTTCTTTGACTACATTTATTCAGAAACCTATAAAATGTCAAATATTTTATACAATCCAAATTCAGACCTGCATCAAGCTTGAATATTGTGTCCATTTTTGCCCCAACTGTCCAGGGTTGGACCTCTGTGGGCGTATCCAGCTGCGCTCAGCGAAGCAGTTTATTATATGATGTTCCTCATGACAAAATTGATGTCCAATTTCAAATGAAAGATTTTCACTTACGGTATGTCTTTCAGGTCTTATTGTCCTTGATTGATTGAAAATGGCATTTTTAGCTCACCGGTGTGAGCTTATGCCATCACTTGGCGTCCATCGTCGTCTGTCGTCGTAAACTATTTCAAAAATCTTCTCCTCTGAAACTATGGCTAAAAATAGAACATAGGGGTCAAATGCAGTTTTCGGCTTATATCTCCAAAACTAAAGCTTTAAAGTAAATCTGACATAGGATAAAACTGATTATCAGGTCAAGATCTATCTGCCCTGAAATCTTCAGACAAATCAAACAACCCATTGTTGGGTTGCTGCCACTAAATTGGTAGTTTTGAGGAAATTTTGCAGTTTTTTGTTATTATCTTGAATATTATTATAGATAGATATAAACTGTAAACAGCAATAATGTTCAGCAAAGTAAGATCTACAGAAAAGTTAAATGACCAAATTTGTCAATTGACCCCTTAAGGAGTTATTACCCTTTAAAGACAATTTTACGCAATGTGTTCATCAAGTTTGCTAACATTTAAAAATCTTGTCTTCTGAAACTATTGTGCCTAATACTTCTTAACTTTGAATGAATGTTCCTTTAGGAATCTAGTTTATGAATTGTATCCGAAATTTTGATCCATCGACAAACATGGCCTCCATGGCTAAAAATAGAACATAGGGGTGAAATGCAGTTTTTGGCTTATACATGTATCTCAGAAACTAAAGCATTTAGAGCAAATCTGACATTGGTTAAAATGTTTTAAAGGTCAAGATCTATCAGCCCTGAAATTTTCAGACACACCGAACAACCCATTGTTGGGTTGCTGCCACTAATTTGGTTGTTTTAAGGAAATTTTGCAGTTTTTGGTTATTATCTTGGATATTATTGAAGATAAAGATAAACTGTAAACAGCAAAAATGTTCAGCAAAGTAAGATCTTCAAAAAAGTTTCATATGACCAAAATTGTCAATTGACCCCTTCAGGAGTTATTGCCCTTTAAGGACAATTTTACACAAGTTGTTTTATGTTTTTTAACTTTAAAAATCTTCTCAAATGAATCTAGTATAAATTTTGTATTTCATTTCCTTGTACATCAAGAAACATAGACACTATGGCTAAAATGGAACATATGGGTAAAAAGCAAAAATAATCATTGATGAAAGATTTAAGCAAAAAAAATAACAGGTGAGCGATTCAGGCTCTTGAGAGCCTCTTGTTTGTTGTTTCTGTGTGATAGACTGAGAATTGTTAAGCCAGTCCTTTTCAAATTTGAATATATTTTATTTCTCATGACAAAATAGTTGTTGAGTTTAAATTTGGATGATTTTCATGTTTTGCCTTTCAGATGTTATGGTTTGTGATTGAT